TTCACTGTTCCCGGCCAATGGGAGGCTGTGGGAAGAGGCAGCCAGCACATCCCTGTGGCCCACCACTTCCCGCAGCTCCCATTGGTCGGGAATGGCAAACCGCAGCCACCGGGAGCTTCAGGGGGCCGTGCCTGCAGATGGTCAACCTCAGCAAAATGTCTCGCGGCCTGTAATCATATTTCCCTGATGGGCTGCCTGTGGTCCGCAGGATGCCCATCACTGATCTAGACCATTCCTGACAGGTGTTTGTCTAACCTGCTCTTAAAGATCTCCACTGATGGAGATTCCACAACTTCCCTAGGCAATTTATTCCCGTGCTTAACCACCCTGTCAGGACGTTTTTTCTAATGTCCAACCTAAACCTCCCTTGCTGCAATGTAAGTCCATTTCTTCTTGTCCTATCCTCAGAGGATAAGAAGAACAATTTTTCTCCCTCCTCCTTATAACTACCTTTTATATACTTGATGGACCATTGGTCTGACTCAGCCTGGTCATTCTTATGTTCTCATGTTTTTATGTAATGATTCTCATGGTGGTGGTAAGATGAGAGTCAATGAGTGACGTGTGGGAATTATGTGTCCAGATGGATGAGCAGTATCTGTAGTAGATTAAACAAGGACCAGTGAAGAGGTTCATAGGGTTTTTGCATCAGCTTCCCATGTTTTTCCTGTCTGTTTCTGGATGAGGTTTATATTAATCTTTATTTTCTCAGGTGCCAGTGGTATGTGAGGCTTCGGTCTATTTTCACACCAAGATAATTCAGGCTGGGATTGTGTTTTTCTATTGGCAACAAAAGTCCACATGCTGTTCTGTCATAGCCTTTGGATTACTTAAATGAAATGCTGACATTAGAGACTTGGTGCGGTTTTCATTTTAGTTTCAGCTTAAGAAATATCCTTCCTTGGTTGTAAAGTCATTGTTTAGTATTTGTTTTATGATAAGTAAATTGTTCTGACTGCACAATCATACAGTCTCATCAGCATAAGCAAATTTCCATGAAGGTCCCTAATATAGATGTTAACCAAGATTGGTGCTAGGACTGGTCCCTATGGTAAACCATCATTGAGAGTACATGGTCTGCTGATCTGGTCACCAAGGAAAACATGAAACGTATGATTGGTCAGAACTTCTGAGAAGAATTTTATCATTGCATTATATGGGATAATTTTGCTGGCTTTCAGAAAGGCATTTGTCCATACAGTGCCATAGGTACCCCCTATAAGTCAAAGAAAGCTGCCCCAATCTTGAATTTTTGCTGGAATCCCACCTCAGTGTGCATTGCTAAGACTAATACTTGGCCAGTGCACCTTTGACTTGGCTGGAAACCAACTTGTTCATTCAGTAACATTCCTGGACTTGGCAATGGCAATGGTCATAGATTGTGGGGAGAATCCCTGTGGAATGATATAGGAGAACAGTGCTACCCCCATTTCTGTACCTTGGCTACAGGGTTTTTAATAAATACTAAAAGGATGCCATCAAGTCTTGCATCTTTCCCAGCTTTTGTAAGTGAGAAGGTCTTGTTTATCTTCTCAATAGTGAAAGTCAGTGATGGGGGGGCAGTGAGCTGTTGTAACTCTCTGTGCACTTTGCATTAATAGACTTGACCCCCTGGTGCTTTTGAGTTAATAAGAAGTGTTCTTGTGATCACATCTGCTAAGACCTCAAGGTTTTACATTTCTGCAGACCCAAGATGATGCAATAATAGCCAAACGTTATGACTACAGTGAGTAACGTCCAAAGATTCAACTGTTTCAATCCATCTTTGATGGAGGGTTAAATTTGGTGACTCTGGTAGGGATGTTGCAGTGTTTATGGCATCAGACGTTTGGTGTTCTGGTAATAGTCTTTATGTTTCTGGTTGCGAGCATCAGGTGTATCCTTTTTGATAACTATGGGAGATGTTTTTTCTTGTGGCCCTTTGAATGAGCTGGGTGAAACAATTTCAGTTTTCAGCCTCTGGTTGAATAACATCAATGGTGGCCTCAGTTGTTACAATGAATCCCAGCCAGCTTTCCTTTTGAAAGTTCCATCACGGTTTGGGTAGTGACATGATTACTGGGGGTTCGGTTCCAATGCTGGAAGTTCAGTAGTCAAAGTTGACTATTTGAAAAATTGCCTACAACGGTTCTAGAGATGTTTTGAAGGATTCTGAACTCATCGTTGTTGAGGAAACAGAAGTCTAGATAGTAGTTTCTGTTCCAGTAAACAGAATAAAAAGTGCCTCTGTTTTTCACAACAAAGAGAAGATGTATGTTTTTGATTACCATTCTGCAAGTTCCTCATCTGGAGTATCGTTGCTACTATAGCCCCACATTGTGTGGTGGCTATTGAAATCACCGATGTATATAACAGAGTAATACACTGTGGATAAAGTGGGAGAAGGCTGGTCTGTATTCAGTGGTTTATACACATTAGCTACCGCAGGGGTCGGCAGCCTTTCAGAAGTGGTGTGCCGAGTCTTCATTTATTCACTCTAATTTAAGGTTTTGCGTGCCAATAATACATTTTAGTGTTTTTAGAAGGTCTCTTTCTATAAGTCTATAATGTATAACTAAACTATTGTTGTATATAAAGTAAACAAGGTTTTTAAAAAGTTTAAGAAGCTTCATTTAAAATGTAATAAAATGCAGAGCCCCCCGGACCAGTGGCCAGGACCTGGGCAGTGTGAGTGCCACTGAAAATCAGCTTGCGAGCCGCCTTTGGCACGCGAGCCATAGGTTGCCTACCCCTGGCTACTGTTAGCTTGCCAATTCTTATTGAGATAGTAAAGGTCTGGTGTTACTCCTGGCATCTATTGGATCATAATCTTTAATGCCCCATCTGATACGTATGGAAAAGCTATGTTTTGAATGATGGAGAGAGGTGACAAGATTGTATCCAGCAATATGGCAGCCTGATTCTTGAGAGGTTTTTTTTTACTATAAGGGTGATGGCATTGATTATATTATCTTTTAGATGGGGATATACCTTCGACATTCTGTTGGCAAATTCATAGAGCTGAGCCTACTGTTCTCTTAAAGTGGCTCTGAAAGAAATCACTTTTTGCAGGGTAATTATCTCCATTGCTGTTCAATCTCAGATTTCACTGAGTGACATTCAGATGCAGATTTGTTGACGTTGGGTGTGCGTTGACACATAGCAGGGCAGACCACGAGAAGGTTGTCATCATCTACCCTGGGAAAGGGGTGAGAGAGAGAGGTTTAATAAGAAAAAAAAGAGAGTTCAGGGACATCATCAAAATGAGCCTATAATTTATCCAGGTAATCATGTAATCTTACTATTTATCCTTCCCCCCCTCACTTCTGTTTGTTGCTGTCACTCATTCTCTCGTGTCTAAAATGATGTAAGCTCCTCAGGTCAAGGATTGTATTTTTTCTATGATCATTAAATTTCCTAACACATGTAGGAACCTTTTCACCTCAGGTTTGAATCTGGCCAGGTCACTACAAGTGAAAAAATTGTGGCTCCCTGAGACAAGGATTTGATTACTTATATCAAATGATTTGTGGGCCCCATCTTATTTGGCACTCTAATTTACAATCTCATTAGAAAGACCAGTTATTTAATGGACATGTAGATTCTCTCACACCCCTAGAGGTGATTCTTCCAGGTCAGGGTTGAGTCATGTTGATGAGGTTGGGTGGAGGAGCTGCTTTTCATGTTGTATATATTCCATAGGTTCTCAAGTTGCCTATTAAATGTGCCAAATTTTTGACACTGCAAGCTGATGTTACCTCTGTTCTGCCTGCAGTCCCCTGCAATTAATAGAGTGAATATCTTGGGAATGCTATGGTACATTTAGTTACCTCAGGCAATTGGAAAATTTGTAAGTTAACCACTGCAAACAGAAGATTATCATTCCACTATGTCCATTTAGCACTTTTTTTTAACACTAATTCATCTTTTTTTTTTTTTTTTTTAAGGGTAAAATTGGCAAAGGTTACAGAAAAGAAACTCTTTAACCAAACATTGTGTTTGCATCATTAGAATGAAGGATGGACTGGCAAATTAGTGAGGAACATAGTGTGTCTATAATCGTATATGAAAGCTTAATGTTTTATTTGAAATAAATACTTGATTTCAAATATTTGCCGTGGTGCTGAGGAATTTAGAATGCGTACAAATATCTACAGATATGTGGTCCACACAGAATGGTGGTATACATCAAGATTCTGCTACCAGAAAACATTAGATATCAGCTTATATACTATGGGTGAAATCCTGGCCCCATTAAGTCAAACTGAGGTTAGCCTTTGACTTCAGTAGGACCAGAATTTCACACTACTCATTTAGGTAAGTTAACTTTCTGATTGATTGTTAAGTTATATCAAGGGCAAGAAATCAGTGTGCTAATTTTCTTTGGGCTTGAGTTATATATAATTTGAAGGATATGAACAATTTTATGGACTATAAAATGGTAACTGTACTATGGCAGTATTGGGGAGCAGGGAACAAAACAACAAAAAATGTTATGTAGGATGCTTAATAAAAATGGGAAAAGAGATGGAGAGAGCGAGAAAAAGACCACACCAGATAAGTATACTGCATAAATCAAAAAGGTTTATGTCATAACATGAACATGTGCCATTCCTGCTCATATATTGAATTTCAGTAGTTGGTTGCATAAAGAAGTAAAGTGTAATGAAACTGGCAAGCAGAGTATTCCCCAGTCAGCCTTATCTTTGTTCCATTTGTCCTTCAGATACAGCTTTTCTTGCCTTTTTCAATAAAATCCATCTAGCTTTTTTATTTTGCATTTCTCTGTAACTGAGCTGAGAAGACCAATGAGATTCAATGCTTTTCTAGTTGAGTTCTTAGCAGCTGCTTTTTAAGAGATCAAAACTTAGAATGCTGCTACATGGTATTAAGGCTTAGCTATTGATGTGTCCCTATAGGGGTTATGTATTTCTTGTGAGGGGTAGGCAGAGAGGAAGGGTAAAGGGTGGCCCTTTTGAGCATGCTCACAGACAGTAAACACTACTTTCCTTGTTTCTTAGGATCCTCTTTGCAAGCTCAGTGCTTAACCTGACTGAACTTATTGCCCTTCGGCCTGACTTTGGCAAATTGAAAAAGGTCCTTTACTTCCATGAGAACCAGTTGACATATCCTGTACAGAAGTGCCAGGAAAGAGATTTCCAATATGGATACAACCAGATTCTTTCATGGTAGGTGTTTCTCATACCATTATGTGTTATTTAATGGCATCTTTTAAGCATTTTTAAACCTGAGGAGTCCTGCGCTACTTAAACAACAACACTGTTACAAACTGAGATACAAATATATACAGTCCCAAGGAGGTGCTAAGTCAAGTGCTTTGGCAGAAACAAGTAAAGTACTGCTCATCTCAAGCTATTGTTCAAGTCTACCTGTGTGCTAAAGGACTACCATGCTACACCTGTAAATTGTGCTAATTTTCAATTCATACCTATTCATCGCAAACAAGATGCTGTAGCTCAAGTACACTTAGCAGAGAGGCAGTTAATCAGCTCTTGCTGAGCTATAGATTTTAATGCATCCAACTGAATTAAAATAGGAGTTTTCAGGGGAATAAACAAAAATTAAAACATAATGCAGCAGTTTTGTTTGTTTGTCTTAAAGGAGTGAGAGCAGTAAACATATCAGATAAATCCTTAATTTTCTTTTTTTTTTTTTTTTGGTATTCAGAAATTGTGCAGTGCTAAAATACCCAGACGTTTTAAAGGCTGTGGTCCTTTATTGTTACTTAAAACAAATGTATTTCCTGAATCTAAGTTAATGAAAGAAGTTAATAACAGCACACTGAAAAGCTTTGTGATTAGACACTGTACAAACCTAAGTGAATCTGCAAAGCTGAATTGGTTTGAATTGAAATAAATTCATTTGGTTGATCTATATCTCACCTATTTGTAATTAGGAGACTTATTAGAAGCATAGATTGAATATTTTTAAATACATATAAAATATTGGCATCTTTGTAAAATGAGCCAGTTAATATTCAGATTTCCCAAATGATAATCTTCATATATACAAGAGCATTTTCTAGATCTGTTTCTGTCTTTGCATTTTCAAGATGCTTCAGTTATTAAGAAGCAATGCTGTGAAAATGTAGTGAAATGGCTGTACAGTACTTGGAATGTATTTTGAAAACAGTAGCAGCCATTTTGAAATTTAATGATCTAAAACTATGGTGTTGGGTGGCGAAGCTGAAGAAGGAAATATCTAAAAAAGAAGTATTTTAACTTCTTTCAGTATTGTAAATGCTGTATTTTTCTGAGTTTTTATATTACAGGACCTTTTTCTTAATTAGGAAAAGACCTCTAAGAATGCTTGCTTCCATGTTTTCTTTAGTCTAGAGTTGCCTCTGTACATAAATGTAAATGCATAATGTACATACTTTGAACATTTTTTTGGCTCTGCAAGAGGACATTTATTAATGGTAAAAGAGAACAAATCTTGTTTATATTTTAGCTGCATTGTTTCTGTCTATTAGCAGTCACCTGTAAAGGAAAAATAATGTTGTGGGTTTTTTCCCCCTTCTATATTATATTTGAGAAGGTCTGAAGTTTTTAATATTTTAAGGTTTTTTTCTGTTTCTTTTTTTTTAACCTTAGAAATATCAGGAACGCTAAGTCTTGTCTTCTGTTTTTGTTCAAAGACTTCTTGGAGGACAAGATAACTGGGCTGGGAGCTTTCTCAAGTCTGTTTTGTGGTGTTAATCTTTAGGAAAGAGAGCTTTTCTCCCAAGTATTTGTCAGGAGTTTGTTACATAGGTGTTGATAAAGTTTAAATAGTATGACTAATATTCCTTCCCTTTTAGTTGCTCAGGTTTCAGTTTCTTATCAGAGGGGTACCCGTGTTAGTCTGGATCTGTAAAAAGCAACAATATAGCACCTTATAGACTAACAGCTTATTGGAGCATAAGTTTTCATGAGTGAATACCCACTTCGTCAGACGCATGTGGTGGAAATTTCCAGAGGCGGGTATAAATATGCAGGCCAGAATCAGTCTGGAGATAACGAGGTCAGTTCAGTCAGGAAGGATGAGGCCCTCTTCTAGCAGTTGAGGTGTGAAAACCAAGGGAGGAGAAACTGCTTTGGTAGTTGGCTAGCCATTCACAGTCTTTGTTTAATCCTGAGGATTCTGGCCTGCATATTTATACCTGCCTCTGGAAATTTCTACCACATGCGTCTGACGAAGTGGGTATTCACCCATGAAAGCTTATGCTCCAATACTTCTGTTAGTCTATAAGGTGTCACAGGACACTTTGTTGCTTTTTTCAGTTTCTTGTGATGATAGGATACCTCCAGTTTGCCAGTCACACTTAAAACCTCCAGCAAAAACCAGAGTAGATAAGACCTAGTATTTTTAATGTACAAAACAAGCAGAGATACAAATTTGCAGGCCTTTATTATATAATGGGGAAAAGTTTTTGTTTTGAATGTCTATTATAAGTCTATTCAAAGAGGTGGACTGACTCACTAGTTGTTTTAACTTGAGAAAAACAAATGGCAAAAAGTCATAGGTGGAGAGGAATGGGAGATTTTAAAAAGTAGTTCAACTCTAATAGTCTAGTTAAAAAGGATTATTTCTCTCTCAAATGTTTCCTCGCTTTTCCTGCTGACTCCTTCTGCTTTTATGAGCATTGTCCATTTTCTTTCTTGGCCAGACAGCAGTGTGAGTTGTGAGGATGAATGACAGGTTTTCACTTCAAATATACTTTTCACCAGTCCAGTGACTTATGAACACATGTCCTCAATGTATCTTAGGGCCTATAGGTCAGTATTACAATATGACATACTGAGAAAATCTACTAGCCATAAACTTAATTTTTATATTAATATTTAACTTTGTTATAATATTACATTTGTGCCAATATAGTTAAGATTGTGTCAGCACTTCCAGATAAACTTCCCAATTTTTCATTGTTTGATACTTTTTCCTTTTCTCCAGACTGAAAACCTTAGCAAGGAAATCACACACACATAATTTAACAAAATTGCAAAAATATTGGTTCTACTGATAACATTCAGGGACAAAATGTTTTCTGGTGTCATGTCCTATCTTCTGCTAATGTACCAAAATTACATCTTAATTATTTTTTAAAATATATATATATACGTGATTGATTAATCTATGATGTTATGACTTTTTATATGTTTATTGTTTTATAAAAATTTCCAAGATATCAAATATTTTGAATCAGGGTGACATTTATTTATCTGTGTTCCAGTTAACTGAAAATCTTGGTTAACCAAAGGTAGGTTATGTGTCTCAGTAGATGTCTCTGAACTATTCAGGGGCAAAAAGGGTTGTGGGGGATTCTACTATAGTTTGTTTAATGTATTTATTCATGATAAGTGCAAATAGCAGCAAAAGTATTCTTACAATCTAATGAGTAAAAATTGACCCACGTATAAAAGTGGATTTTCTCAAAATATCAGAATGGCTGTGATCCTTAAATTTAATAATAATAAACATTTATAATTCAATTTTTAAAAGATGGTTTTAATAAAAATTGTTAAATAATGTTTAAAAGATTAAACATATTGACAGAAACCAATAAATTTAAACTAAGGCTGACACTTTCTCTTATTCATCTGACATGATGGAATCCCAACCTTTAATTTGGATTTCTTGCTTTGCCAGTTAGTTTCACAATATTTATCCTACATTAATCTGGCTTTAAAGTAATTCTGATTTTTCTTAAAGAACATTGCATTAATTCTAGCTATATTTTACAGTTTGGTTGCTGATATTGTGGTGTTCAACTCTGCTTTCAATATGGAGTCATTTCTTACATCTATCGGAAAATTTCTGAAGCTGATTCCTGACCACAGGCCTAAGGATCTGGAAAAAATAATCAGACCAAAGTGCCAAGTTCTTCACTTTCCAATCAGGTTTCCTGATGTGAGCAGGTCAGTACATTTGACTCCATTCTCCATATTATGTCATAACTTCTTTCAAATCTATCTAAACTGATAGCCCTTGCTGCTAAATTTTAACTGATTAGTTCAAGCATTGTTAATTAGGGAATTTGGTTCTATGTCAAATCCATTCATTTACAAAAGTATTTCAATAACCTAATGGTACTCACATTAGGACCTGATACTGCACCAATGAAATCAATAGGAGGTTTGCCAAGCAGGTCAATAGTTAGTACGTGTCATAGAAGGATAGTTTGATGTTAAGGAGGAACTACTTATTTTTGGCAAAGATAGAAGACATTATTTGACTAGATAATTCACCAATGGTAATTTATTAGGTTGTTTTATTTGGAAAAGCCATCTACTCTCTTTATTCAAACCTATATAAGTGTTTGTGTTGAGAAGGAGAAAAAAAAATTCCAGAGAATAGTGACAGTGATTAATCTGTGATTGAGAAACTATATTTTCTTAGGTATGCTGTAGTGGGATTTCCCTTCCCCACCTCTGTGTTTTATTGCTTACAGGTAGGTGAAAAGTACTTCATTAATGTAGATCAGACTTGCATAATTTTGGTGTTAACTGCAGTTATAGTACCTCTTCACTCTACCTCAGTTAGTACAAAGGACATTTTTTATTACCCTTACTGCAGAACCCATCTTGAAATTAGCAAAGGTTGTGTTATGTGGCTCAAAGGGAACATAATGTAGATTCTTTTAACTTCTGATTAAACCTAACACAATTGTTTTTTTTCTATCGGAAGGAACTCTCCTCCTCAATTTGCTTCAATGGGGCTTACTCTAGCTAGAGACAATCAGTTTGCAAAACTGTACTTTGCTCCTAAAAATAACATGAAGGGGGTTCTGCATTTTTGCTGATAAGGATGGGAAACAGTGTAATGAAACTTAAATGGCTATGCAGGAGTTTGGGGTTTGATTTTATTTCAAGTTCCATTCTGTTTAAATATTCACACCTTAAACCTTCAACATGGACCAGCTAGCACATTACAAATAATTTCAAAGGATTTGTCTATTTGTGGAAGGTTTCTCTAAGGAAGAATCATTTAACACTAAGACTAGGTTAGCAAATTTTGTTAACATGTATAGATTTGTTTTAAGGCTTAGAAAGGATAGCAGGATTCTAAAGCACTACACCAAGATTTGTAAACATGGATGCCTAAAGTTAAGCCTTTGAACCCAAATTTAGGCTCTTACATCACTGTGGCCTGATTTTCTGGAGTGCCATTGAGAGCAGTGGGTGCTTAGAACCTTTGAAAATTAGGGCATTTTCAATGGGATTTCTGCTCCTAAATCCTTTAAGTATTTTTAAAAATCCCACTATGAGTGCCTGACCTTGGGTATGCAGGCATAATAAATATATTGTTACAGATTCCATTAACTTTTAATATACATTATTTTTAATTAATAATTGTAATTGTTATTGAATCTTGTCTTTCTGAGGAATGACAGCTTTCTTACATTACAGATGTTACATTTGAAATTGAATCTAAAGGCTAGAATTTCAGCAATGTCTATAAATATTATTATGCATGTGCACATAACTGTATGCACACACAATTCATAGTTTGTTGACATGCCTATTAGAAAAACACATTTTTAAAAATCCATTCCATATTTATATGAATAGAACCTGCTGATATATATTTTAATTTTCATTTAAATACTATATTTAGAAATGAGTTATAATTATGCTGTCTGGACAAAAACCAATATCATCATAAAAGACAGGAGCATTAAAATAAACTTTTCCATAACTTTGAATAAAGTTCTTGGGTTTGGGGGCTTTATCTGCATCCACTATTTGCCATTTCTTTACAAGATTATGTTTTAAATAATGTTGAATGCACCCATGGCAACTGAATACAGTTTATTAATTTAGACTGTATTATTACAGTGAAATCTAGATGAATGGAGATTGAAGAGAAAAAGGTTAAGAAATATTGTGGCCAAGCTAAGATTCATAAAGCAAGCTCTTAGCCCAGAGTGTTTTTTGAGTTATTTTCAAATGGTAATTTGCTTTATCCAGACCAAACTCATACAGTGTAAGTAAGTGATTATTTGCATGACTGACAATCATTTGAATGCCTGCAGTCTTTTTAAAATGCATAATTTTGCCAAGATGTTGGAAAAAATATCTAGAAATTCTGACGGCAAAATTACCAAGGTGATTTTATCCCTTATGTACGTGTGTGTATGTGTGTGTGAGAGAGAGAGAGCGAGAGATGCAATTTTTATTTGGCTATGTGGCAGAGATGTTCTGAAAACAAAAAAAGTCTTGTTAGCAATATGATTGTAATATGTAAAAGAGTCTTTATTTTAAGTTAATATTGTGATTATAGGACAAAATAAAAATACATTATTATACCGTATTTGACCCTAGAACAGGGCCATGTGACTGCAGAATATAAAATTTCACTTGAGCAAATCCCATTATGTTTTTATACGGTTATTAACCAAAGGTGCATGCACACCCTAAATGAGAGAAACTGCTACTCCAAATAGACATATTTAGACATGAAATGAAGGTATAGTCAAGAGTGCATTCTGATGCAGTAGAAAATGTAACAGAAAATACTCTGTTTGATACAGAAACAAAACTTGAATGGTGTGAAATACTCCATTTTATATATGCATAATATTTGTTTAAAATAAGTTGTAAATGACCTTATTCTGCATTTAAGAACTGCTTTATCAAAAAGCACAGCATCTTTAACAGTTATTTGAAATTTTTTTGAAGATACTTAGTATAAGTGCACATCTTTGCTAATTATTGATAGGATCAGGGATGAACTTAGGTTTGGCAGGACTCTGCAAAGTAAGATGTACAAAGCCACAGGATGTCTTTTCTAGCCAGAACATATGGAGTGGAGGCAGTTTCCCTCCTTTATCTTCAGTACACCAGTGTCTCTCCTCTGTGTCCCTCTCCAGTTTCCCTGAAGTCCTATCCTCTCTGCATTACTTAAGCTCTTTCTGCCCTCTGTTCCTAAGGGGGAGGAAGAGGAACAGTTTCCCTCTCTTATCTTCCTCTTGGAGTAAATCCCTGTCTCTCCTTTCCTCAGCTTGGGGACCCAAAAACTGTTAGAGAGATGCCTACTCTGACTTACTTCACAGGGATCTCTTCTGTCTGTTATCAGTGCTGTGGTCCCAGGAAAAGGGAATGAAGACAGAACAGATGAGGTCCTGTGATCACAGATCTGCTCCCTCTTCCTGAGCTAAAAATAGCTCTTGTCAGCTTTTCCTAGCGAAGGGATTAGACGGTAGTTCTTGTCAAACACTGGAAAGAGGAGGAAGGAGTCACTGATTTGGGAGTCTAGAACAGGAAATTGACGGACCCCATCCTTTTCCCAGTGGCAGTCTTCAGGTAGTTCTAACCACATGCATGTAGATTGGCTTCCATGTTGTGCTCTGTAGTGTCAGTACCAGCCCTGATATAATACTACTGTATCACTTACTTTTTAATTGATATAGTTTTACAGTCTGATACAGTATATATGTAAAAATAACTATCTTACAATAATTTTAAACTTACAAGACTGTCACTCCATTGTGCATAGGTATTACAAGGGATGCAGAACAGTAGGTGATTTTTACATCCCATATGTGCTGCCATACTTTTGTACAACACAGTGAGTTAAATCCAGTGTGACTCAGAATTACCTTATAATGTCTTTTTTGTTTAACTCAGACTCTTAATTCTATTGTAACATAATTCTTTAAATTTGTGGTTTTGCTATTTTTTTTTTCATTTTTAAAAATGAGGAAGGGGGGCACAGAAACAAAAATGGCCTTTTCAATAACATAATCTTTTTGTCCATGGACCTTCAAATGCAAGTAAGCATAACTGGAAGAGTTTTGTAGGTTCTTTGCTGATACTTTGTATTGCTTGTCAACATTTTGATTTCTATTGGTCCATCTGCAGCCATACCACCTTCAGATCACAAGCAAAGCAGGGTCAGACTAGGTCAGTTCTTGAATGGGAGACACTTTGGTATTAATTTAGATGAAATGTGCTATATAAATGTCAGTTACTATTAATGCTGCCCTAGCTGTAGTAAATCTTCATTATCATTTATAAATTTTTCAGAGCCATAGAAGAGCTATAATTATAGCTATAGAGCTATAGATAGTGTTTTACAAACATGTTTTAAGTTATATGTGTGTTCTAAAGAGATTACAATGCAAGTTAGACAAAGGACAGATGGGATAACAGATTAAAAAAGAAGACATGAGAAGACTATTATAGTAAGAGAAAACAAGAGATCTTTTCTTTGTCAACTTGGTAGTATCTTGTACTATATGCACTTGAAATTTGATGTGCTGAAAAAATAAAACTGTCAACAAACAGGGGAAGACTCATATCCACAAGTGATTAGACTTTCACAAGAGCTGGGTATGGAACCCATTGCCACTAGAGTGTGTATTAAGTTGACATAAGATATGAAGCAGCCTAACAGCTTCTCTCTTATATTGGGGCTGCAGCTAGGGCCAAGGCAGCCACAACTGGTGCTCTGACTTTACCTTCACCTCACCCCCTGTGCAAGTAAATCTTGACATTTAAAGTTTACATCTACTGTGTTAAAAATCAGGCTATTATGCAATAAACATAATGGGTCAGATCCTGGAAATACACACGGCACAAGTTGTGAGGGAGATGGAAATGGGCATAAAGCTCAACTGTGCACTCTTGCAGTCCTCCGGCCATTGTGTGAAGGGTTGGTCACCTGGTGCAAATTACGATGGCGTTGGGCCACTCTGTCATATGCTGACTGTTAAGAGTAAGGGGTCAGAAATACAGCTGGGAACTGGCACATCTTAAGCGTGTTGCAGTCATTCCCCCTTTCTTTCAGTCGTTCCTCTTATGCCAGCTACAGGGATGGAAGATGATGTACTAGCTTCTACTCCAGTTTCTACATTTCCAGAGGATTACTTTTGCACTAGACTGATCCCCCCTTGGGCCAGATATATCAGCTTCAC